ATCACTGAGAAAACAGAGGCAGGTAAGGAAACTTAGAATTAGAGGTAAATTTTAGAAGGACTTAAACTATAATTAGGGGTACGAAAATGAAGATTACAGCACCCAACCTTTCCTGCTGTGGCAACAAACGTGTTTACAGCAGAGATATTTTAATGTCCACCTTCCCAGATTATCTGCAATTTATTTTTGAATACAGCTTTTTCATTTTCCTCTTCGTTTTAGCACACGAGAACAAAATTCTGAGGTTCTGTTATTAACGTGTACGATAGGCACTCTGTCAAACAGAAATAAATTATACCCGTTAAAAACTTCTAAGAGGCAAATGCTGAAGGAGCAGCACTTGTAATGGTTCAACTCAATTTTCCAGGCATTCTGGAAAGCAGAGCTGGTTTTAAAAATAAGGTACTTGCACGCTTTTTTTCCTTCTGAAATTAGAGGGATACAGTTATCTTCAACAAAAACATTTTAAAGGCTTCCAGCTACCTAATTTCCCTGGGTTATCTGATAACATTTTCTCTTCCTTCCCTCGTTTGAATTGTTCTCGTTTCTTCACTCCTATATGTTGCCTATAAATACAGAAATGAACCAAACCAGGAAGAAATCATCAGGGTTAATTACACATAAGCAACAGCAAAATCTCAAGCGCTATTTGTGGCGGCAGTGGATTTGATCCCCTCTCTCAGTAGGAGATATTCAATAAAACAAGCACAAAAGGTGAACCCAGGAACCACGTCCCCATTGATTCAGGTACTTTTTGGGGAGGTTTAGTACATAGTCTCCGAATCCCCTACACAGAGTCTCTGTTTTCTTGGGTGCTGCCCAATTTTTGTTGTTTCTTACCATACTCAGGCTACTTGAAATGGATGTAAAATGCCTGGGGGGTTTATAATCTCTCATTCTTACTGTTACCACTCCGGCAGAAAGCCCGGCTCCCAGAAAGCTGCTCCAATTAAAACAGATTTCCGCTCTCAGTACCGGGAATAGACTCTGGATATTCCCCAATAATCTTAAAATGGATACTCCCATTAAATTATTTCAACATTAAAAGATTTGCAGAGACTACTGAGCTCCAACAAAGCATCCGTGTTTCGTCTTGAGAACACATTTTAAGTAAATTTAATCTCCGGATTTTTTTCCGCTCCCTCTTTACTAAATGGCAAGATCCCTAAGAGTACAACAAGATCAAGTCAGCTCCCGGTGTCAACCTTCTGGAGCCAGCAAAAGAAACACTGCGTTGCTATAACTTAAAAAAATAAAATAAAATAAAAGGGAGTTGTCCTGCTAGAAGTCCCAGAAGATGCCAGACATTATCCCTCAGCTTATCCTTCCCTTTCCAATGTATACTTTGCAAGGTTTTCATGTGGGTTATTTTCCTGCCAGCTCAGTGCGTTGAATCGCTACTCTGGACTCAGCTGGACAGGGTGCTGGGCCATCTTGTCTAGACTGGGCTCTTGCCTAGAAAGGTTGGAGCAGATGATCCTTGAGGTCCCTTCCCACCTGATATTCTACGATTCCATGATTCTATGAATCAGCTCACCACAGTCAAACAAGCATCACAGAGGGTGTAGCAAGGTGGCCAGTCCCCTTACCTCAAACACATCGTAAAAGCACTAGCTCACCACAGTCAAACAAGCATCACGGAGGGAGTAGCAGTCCCCTTACCTCAAACACATCGTAAAAGCACACCCTGAAGATGCTGTTTCAGTTCCTGAAGTTGACTTTAAGGCCATTTAAGTCGAATTTAAGGCCATTTAAGTCAATATACTCACAGTGTTACCAGAAGATGCAGTCTCACATATCCTCCCTTCTCCTTGGCCACGTGTTCCCAAGTACAAGTTCACACCAGGTGGAAACACAACTGGGCAGCTCCAAGCAGAAGGTACTGGTATATTGGTCCCATCGGTATCGCATGAAACGATGCCTTCGGCACAAGGTACATCAGAGTGCGGCAGGAAGGAGGGCAGAGCTACATCTCCCGCAGCACCTGCCTAAACCAGCGACAAAACCAGACTCTCAGCCCGGCTGATGCACATTTTACAGATGGGAAACGAGGATAAACAACACTTCTCTATCTCTAAAAGTCCTGTTATGTTCACTACAGCTTGTAGGTGGCTTGGATGGTCCGAGAAGGAAGCCATAAAAGTACTTGAGGTGTTTGTAGTACATAGTCTAAATGATATTTCACAGAAATAGCATCTCCTGATACTTGGCTATCAGGAGAGCCTTTAGAGCACGCTATATTTTACATCAGGAGGCAAGCAATAGCCTTAGTTCAGAGAGGGTATGCGCTGTATCAAGGGAAGGAGCTAAAATTACTGCAAGACACCTACACAAAACTTCTTGCCTTCAAAGAACAGCGTCAGGATTTCTGGATTTGGGTGCCAGCGCTTCAGGAATTTGCAGTCACGGAATACAATCGCGATTCTGGTTCTACCAAGACATAGGTGCAGACCGCAGCAAAGTGTCCCTTTGTCTTTGAGTTTATTTTGCACCACAGTATCTCGGAGTTTGGGGTTGTACCTTTTATCGTCAACAAGATTGGTTTAGCGTCAACAAGAATTTACGCTTAGCCCTTCAGGCAGCAGTTCTTGCTCAAGAAGTTATATGGCTGCTAGTAAGAAAATGAGTCTTTTATGTCCAACGAGTGGTACTGATTTAGGTTTTTCTTCTTATGGATGTTACCAGAAGTAACAGTAATGGGCATAAGTCAAACTTTCTAGATCACAGAATCATAGAATGTTTTGGATTGGAAGGGACCCCTAGAGGTCACCCAGCCCAACCCCCCTGCAGGAGCAGGGACACCTTGAACCACATCAGGTTGCTCACAGCCCCGGCCAACCTGGCCTGGAATGGTCCCAGGGATGGGGCCTCCACCACCTCTCTGGGCAACGTGTTCCAGTGTTTCACCACCCTCAGTGTAAAGAATTTCTTCCTTAGATCCAGTCTAAACCTCCCCTGCTTCAGTTTAAAGCCATCCCCCCTTGTCCTGTCCCAGCTGGCCCTACTAAAAAGCTTGTCCCCCCCTTTCCTCTGGGCCCCCTTGAAGCCCTGACCGGCCGCACTCAGCTCTGCCCGCAGCCTTCTCTTCTCCAGGCTGAACACCCCCAACTCTCCCAGCCTGGCCTCAGAGCAGAGGGGCTCCAGCCCTCGCAGCATTTTAGTAGCCCTGCTCTGGCCCCGCTCCAACAGGTCCATGTCCTCCTGGTGCTGAGGGCTCCAGAGCTGGACGCAGTGACCTCACTCCAGAACAGCCCACCCTTCTACAGACCCACAGATCTGACACCTGCAAAAGTTCACATTTATTAACTCTGACAGTGAAACAGTTTTGAAACTTGTTGAAAGACAGAAAATGTGTCTTGCCTTGTTGGTCCTTAAGTTTTTTCCAATTTTCTTTTCTTTTTAAATCAGAATGAGTTATAAACTTTGAAGACAAAGATCACCTGCATCTAGAACTTAACCGAGCCAAGTCTGTCTGACCCCGTTTTCTCCTCCCTCGGGACAGCCCATGCTTCTGGTACCCTGCCAGCATCTCAGGAGGGCAGGCAGAAATCAAAAGCCAAACAATAAGGGATTGTTTTCCCCGATGTTCTTCCCACTATCTTTTGGTTAATATACACACACACACAAAACAAGAAATATGAAATAATAATAAAGGTATAATCATAGGAAGGTCAGATAAAACCAAAAAAACCCGAAGACACATCCAGCTTCCTCCAGTTGCCACTGTAGAAGAAAACTCTGTGATTCATAAGCCCCGCGGCTTATCTCAATAGCCAGAAAATCCTGATAACACCGAGAAAAACATATTCCAGAATCAATGCCCCCACACACACCCCAGGAGAAAACTCTGCTGAAGTCCTTTCAGATTTAAAAACAAGATTGTTAACGAAGTAAAGCCCAGCTAATCCTGACTGCCAGCAGAGTCCTGGGGAAAGAGGTCTCAGAAGGAGATAAGATTCAAATCAAGAGTGTCGCAGATCAAAGGCACCAGCCTGAATTGTAAACCCGAACGAGCAAGACACCAGAATAGTCTCTGCAGCACTGATGTTACGCACTTTCTGCGAGAGCCATTTCCACGTAAGCGGAATAATTTGGCGCCGTTTTGAAATCTGTACAAAACTTAAAAGAAAAACTCCGTACGGGGCACAATGAAGGAACCCAACCAGGCGACCACCAGCACAGGGGTCAACAATCTTTTCATTCCTTCAAGCACTGGAGAAGGGCGAAGTGGTGGCTGTGCGTATCAGGGCACCTCCCAATGTTTCATTTATCTGTCTTGGGAATTACAGGCATTACCAACCCCTTTTGCCATATTCCAAATGGGAAACCAAGGCACCATTTATGCAGTTTGTGAACTAAAGGGAAATTGTGGGCATGGCAAGAACCATGGGTGCCAGTCTCCCACGATCTGACCATAAGACCATCATTCATCACTAGCAAAATAACAAGAAAGCTTGGAGATTTGGGTTCCCCAGCAGAGAAACCCCCCTGAAGTGAAAGGCTGAAGCACATTATGAATTCATCCGAAAAATCCCCATGAAGACAATTCTGCGACGTGGAATTTTGGATGAAAAGGCTAAAAGCCAGCAAGGCTGGCCACAAACTGGCCTAAACAGATGTGAGTAAAAAAAGCTTCCCAAGGGCTGAACGCAAACACAGAGCATTGGAAGGGGAAAGTATGTAAACCGCAGAGAACAGGAGAGAATACACACACTGTCAAGCCTACTGACGGAGCCAGAAATGTCAGTGAAGAGCATCAGGAAAGCGCGAGAACGTCAAGGACAGGCAGAAAAACACCCGTGGTGTAAGCCCCAGAAAAACTCTGCGCGTACGTGTGCGTGCGGGCGCGCATGTATTTAGTGCTGGCGGGGAAAAAAAAAATGAAAGACCTTGGAATACTGAGCAAAATGGGCTCCTGCTGTTTGCTTCAGACTGTGTTCGGAAAAACCAGCCCCTGCAAATGCGCTCTGTGAATCAGCACGATCGCCTCCGAGAAATACCTGGCTGTCATCGATTTCCTCTTCCCACAGACGGTCACAAATATTGGCTAATCACTCTGGTCAAAAGAAGTAACCGTGCATACCGGGAGCAGCAACTCCGCATCAGCTGGAGCTAAGCGGATGAGAAAAGATTTCAGAGATCCTGGAAAAGAACTGAAAAGGAAAGTCTAAGTCAAGGTTTGGCAATCTTTGTATGGTGCCGTGCCAGGCTTTTTCTTCCCCATGCTACGGCGCGAGTGTGCCAAGAGAAACCGAGCAGGATCTGGTAGAAGCTGCCTCTCGAACGGGCAGGAATCTGCTAATCGTTGGTACCTTGCTTCCATGCAAGACAGCGGCTTTTGCTGAGCGTAGAGCTCAGGGAGAGTCAGAAATTGGAACCTGCTGCCTCTCGCAAATGAGTGCCTCCAAATGCCAATGCTACCAGCCCCACACCCCATTCCTACTCTGATCGGACACCCATGGGTTGTTGAACCCCGAGCTAAAACACGCATCCAGTACTAGATGCAAGAGAAAGCAAAAAAAGGTCGGCAACCTGAACAAGGCTGCACGACCGATGAGAATATTGGGATTTGAGTGATTGAACGGTATTGCAGGGAACAGAGAGATCATGAATTGCAGAGCCAGCATCTTTCCAACTAATAAGACACCTTCCCAGATGAAACTGCTGATGCATCCAGGAAAGGAATAAGCTAAACACAAGAGAAGGACACTTAGAAGGGCAAATGAGGTTCAAAGTCAGACAAGAGCGTCCATAAAGAAAATGAATTTTCTATTGCTATATATGGGTGCAAGGAGGCTGAATAACAAGCAGGAAGGAATAAAATCCTGACCGGCAGTAAGAAAAAAAAATGAAATCTGCTGTGATGAAGTGTGTGACTGGACTTTAAAATCATTAGTTCAATGGTGTTCAGATATGAAAGAGAGGAGGTGGCTGCAATGTATCCCTAAAAAGAGGGGGAACAAGGCTCACCTCTTTGGCAAGTATCAGTACCGCAGAAGAACTGAATTTCCAGGGCAACTGGGCAGTAACTCGGTGTGTTGTAATGGGCGAAGCCCAGGAGGAGGTTCTGGGAAGCACCAAGACAGGGATCAGGGTATGTGACTCCACAGGCACATAAAGGGGCGAAAAAAAAAAGATGTGGGTGTATGGAGGAGGCAGAAGGGGTACAGAAATGCTCATGCGGCAAAGAATTATAGGGGATTAGTTTTCTAAAATGCTAGGTGACAATTTATAACACAAAGGAATTGGTTTGGACCTCATTACAACCAATAAAGCTGCGGTAATCACTGGACTGGAAGTCTTGACAGAGGAGAAAAAGAACAGACTCACATTTAAATATATCTAAGTCTAGTAATTCAATCAAGATTGCAAAATGTCTTGATTTAAATAATTGATTTTAACTTGTACGGTGTTTGTACTTTTTAGTTATCATCCTAATGAAATAGCAACATAATGAAAACAGGCGTCACTTAAGATGCTGATTTTTCACAAATATAACTTAGCAGAGGAAAAATTAAGGAATTTGCATATAGATGATCCACTTATATTCACCCACAAAGTTTCAAAGTGCTTTTGGGATCAAGAAGGAAATAGCTACAGAGCGGAGTTTGGAAAAGCAAATTAGAGATTTAACTCCCCTTGCAATCAGTGGGAAGATACTAGAAAAATGGTTAAGCAACCTATATCAAAGCAACTACAGGATAAAGCACGAAAAAATGAAACAACACGGATGCGTCAAGATCAAATTGGGTCAAACCAAAATAGCCCGGTGAAACTCAATAAAGACGAGGACCAGAGCAGCGTATGCTGCGCAGGTGGAGAATAACTAGCTAGGCTGATGGGCAAGAGAAAATAACCTGAAGGGTATATTGGATCGCAAATTAATATAAGTCAATAATACAAGGGATTTGCAAAAAAATAAAAGGGGGGGGAGGGCATTTCAGATTGCTTTAATAGAGTGCCACGTGGAAAACAGCGTAATTTCATTTTATACAACGCTGACGAGGCCGTGGAGTACCGAGTCCGTGCACAGAGAGAGGTAAACACATCGGAGTAGAGAGGAAAGCTGCAAAAATAATAAAGAGATTTGGAAACAACGTGATCCATGGTAACAGATTAAAGGACCTTGTTCAGCCTAGAGGGAAGAAAACTGAAGGAGAATGCAACAGGCTCCCATTAGTGACAACGGAGACAAGGGGATGGGTTATTTTGCACGTCCTCTGGAGTGAAGCAGAGTATCTTAATTTGCCAAAGATGGAAGATCTTGGCAAAGCTTTTTAACTAAATTGGTTAAGCACCCACGACCAGCTACCTAAGGAGGCTGGGTACCTCCTAAACTGGCAGATTTTAAGGCAAAAATTAGAAACATATTTGTCAGGGATGCTCTAGAGGCACTTGATGTTGCCTCAAGGAGGTGAATGGACTGGAGTCTCCCAAGCTCTCTGCCAGCTCTGCATTTCAGTAAGGAATGGTTCCTCAGAGACCCAGGTTGTTTAACCAGAGAGTCCTCAAAGAATCCTCCACCAGTTCTGAGACCCCGAGGGTTCATTTTCAATACCTTTTGGAATGCAGGAGAAAATCTGGAAGACAAACATTTCTAACATGGTAACAGCAGGAGAGGGCAAAAAGATGACTCAAGTAACTATCAGTCAGTTAGCCAGACATCGGCTCTGGACAAAATAAGGGAAAACTCAATCAGATTTGATCTGGACTTAAAAAGGACAGGAGCAAAATCAGTGATAATCAACTCAATGTTATGGAAAATTGGCCTTGTCAAACAAAGCTGATTTCATTCTTAGATGAGATTCAAAATCAGGCTGATAAAGCCAACTGCTGCAAGGTAACAGGCAAACTTCTGTTGAGCATGACATCTTGATTAAAAAATTACCACTATACTATGTCAACAAAGCACGCTAAACGGATTTAGAATTGGCCAACTGACAGATGACTAAAAGCAGTCATCCGTGGAAAAACACCGACAACAAAGTTAGCTGTAGTAGGGTTCTGCTGGGCTTGAGACGGAGCCCGGTACGATTCAAGAGGTTCTCTATAGATCTGGAAATTAATATAAGCACAGACAAGATTTGTGAATGGTCCTTTGGATGACAGGTGAAGAGGGCAGGCTGACGATACACAGCAATTCGGACTGCAAAGGCCACTCCAAGTAGGTTTCAATACAATCAAAAGCAAGGTACTACGCGTAGGAAACCAAATGTGAAAGCCAGAGACCCTGAAACACAATCTGAGGTACTGCCGGGCCAGAAACTGCCCGACACTTCCCAGCTCAATGCCATGTGTTTAACTCAGCCAAAATAAAAGCTGAAAGACCACTCAGTTATGGAATTATGAGTTCCCTCCAACAAGAAACATTACTGGGTCCCAAAGGACCTTTTAATTTAGCCAAGAAAAGACTTTTGGAAGCAATAGTTGGAAACTAATTCAAATGAGACCTCAATTTTTTAATCAGACAAGGTAATTAATTGCTGAAAATATATCAAGAGAAGTGGCGGATTCTTCATGACTTGAGATCTTCAAACTAAGACTGACTGTGCTGGCAGAAGGTAAACAGCCCCACATAAATAGTCATTAGGCTCTTTTTCCAGGGAAAACCTGTGGTTTCGAGGGGGTCACTCTAATTAAGCCTTAAGATGTAGGAACTCTCTTCTAAGTCCATACAGAAAGTCACCAATGCAGCATCTAAGCACATCCCAATGGCACAGAAAGCAAATCAAATCCATCTCCTGGCCACCACAGAGGGAGAAGCAGCACAGCATCTGATCTGACCTTGCTGTGCAATGCCAGCAAGAAATCTTCAGGCTCCGTTTTTTCCGTGGTGAAAACAGAGATAGTACATCCACGCACGAGGATCTCACAAGGTTTAACCCAGGGAGGTCTGCAAAGACCTTCCAAGAATCTTGGACAGAAGCAGCCTTAATGGTATGTACAGTTGCGGGGCACGGTGGTAGCGGCAGCATCAGAAAGGAAAAAAGGGTCATCTCTTGGACCACCTTGGCAGTGGTGTTGCGGAAGAGAGGGAGAGAACAACGTGCCTCGCGCCGGACACTTTGCTAAATGGGAATCCAAAAGCAACCAAGAGCGCTGAGGGTTTTATGCCTTTTCCTCAGAAGTTGTGTGTAACACAAACCAAGGGCTTCGATTCACAAACCAGCAAAAACTCTAGGTAACACCGATTTGCTGTAAAACACTCCAACGTCATTTTACAAACCCCAAGGCAATTTAAGACGTTATTTCTTGATGGTAACGCTAATGCACACATACGTAAAATCAAACTCCAGGAATTATGAAAGAGAAGCTGAAACTCAGGTGAGAACAGATCTGATACCACATTTATTTACTGAGCCCACAACTTAAGTCCACTACCACAGAAGGAGCCACCTCAAATGAAGGATCTTCTCCACAACTTCAGTTTTTGTGTGTGTGTTATATACAGACAGTGAAAAAAATTCTTATGGAAAGAAGTATTTTATTGAGCTTCCAAATGAGATCAGTCCATATGCAGAAGACTCAGCTAGCTGCCCCGTTCGGCAGCTGGGATCTGGATGCTACAGTAAGAAAAAGAAGCCATTTCTCAAATTTATCACACTTCATTTTAAGACTTCAAAAATTCTGTTGCGAATACAAGTCAAATCAACAGCAAACTTGAGCTTTAACCAATTTTCCCTGCATTGGTTTCACCTCTTATTTGCACCACGACAGGAGGCAAGGATGACCGACAGGAGAGCGTTTGGGTGGTCCTGTTCTCATCACCAAGTGACCACCCTCTGAATACAGCACTGGCCACGCTCGGACAAGAGTAGGGCACGCGTAAGACAAGTCTGATTTCCTCCTCCAAACGACCACAAGGCCAAATGGAAACCTTATTCTAGCTGCCCATACCACACAACATTGAACCTGAAAAATATGTGGAATGCCATAGTTTTTGCAAAAGCCATTAAATGTCTCATTAAGTTATGACATACACAGGAAACTGAAGGCAATTATTTGCAGAATAAACTACTACAGAATAAATGTTCATATTGGGACCTATTCCAAAGTAATTGCACTTTAAAAGCTCACAAGCTTAATTCAAAATACTTTTCAATGGGGACAAGTCCTTAGACCCTGCCTGTCCGTATAGACACTGCATTCATTTTAGTTGAAAAATCATC